TTCAAAATTACAATGCTTGTCTTTCATAATTTGGTCAGATATACTTGGATGTGTAGTGTCAGCGTTTGTTGCTGGCATGTCATGCCTAAGTTTGCTAATCTTGCCAATGAAAAAATCATTAAAGTAGTTGGCAATATCAGTTGGTTTTGTGATGAATGAGCCATCTGATTCAATGAATGATGGAGCTGAGTTTGCCTTTTTCCCCAACATTTCATTGAAGATGCTCCAAAGCTTTTTACTATCATTCTCTATGTCATTTATCTTTGTTTCATAGTGTAGTTTCTTCTTCTTTTTATTCAGTTTAGTCACATGATTTCTCAATTTGCAATACGTTTGCCAATCGGTTGTGCAGCCAGACTTATTTGCCATTCCTTTTGCCTCAACCCACTCAACCATACCATTTTTCAATTCCTCATCAATCCATGGGGATTTAACAGTTTTTACTGTCATTTTCTTAATGGGTGCATGCTTATTAGTAACTGGAATAAGCAATATCATAAATGTGTCAAGTGCAGCGTCTGTTTGCTCCTCATTACACACCACAGACCAACAAATATTCTTTACATCAACAACATAGGAATCACTTCCAAAATTATTGTAAGACCTCTTATACACAATATTAGGCCCAGCCTTTGGAACTTTGGTTTTCCTAGATATGGCTACTATATTGTGATCACTACATCCGATGGATCTGGATACTGCTTTCAAGCACATCTCTGCAGCATTAGTAAAGATGTGATCAATACACGTTGATGATTTCATTCCTGTGCTGTGTGTGTATGTGTTGGACGTAAAAGACTGTAAAAACTCCAGCAAATCAGCTCCAAGTGATTTTAATTTTAGGAAATCTGTTCCAATGTATTCCCACGCATAATAGAGAGATAGAAACTGAGTGTACAAAAAAACTATCTTTCCATGACATAGACTGACCAGGTGAATCCAGGTGAAAGCTATGATCCCTTATTGGTGTTACTTGTTAAATCCACTTCAATCAGTGTATATGAAGGGGAGCAGACAGGTTAAAGAAGGATTTTTAAGCCTTGAGACAACTGAGAAATGAATTGTGTATGTGTGCCATTCAGAGGGTGAATGGGCAAGACAAAATATTTAAGTGCCTTTGAACAGGGTATGGTAGTAGGTGCCAGACGCACCGGTTTGTGTCAAGAACTGCTGGGTTTTTCATAATCAATAGTTTCCTGTGTGTATCAATAATGGTCCACCACCCAAATGACATCCAGCCAACTTGACACAACTGTGGGAAGCATTGGAGTCAACATGGGCCGGCTTAACTGTGGAACGCTTTCGACACCTTGTAGAGACAAATGTAAGCAAGGTTTGAAATGATTATGTTTTAGTCAAATGTTATATCTGTTTGGGCTTCGGTCAATTTGCAGTCTACAAATTATTTGTTATTATGTTCCGGCCCCCTGACCATCCAATCAAGAAAACATTTTGTCGATGATCCCTGTCCTATCGGGACAGCGGAAGAACCCTTTTAGGATCTAGATAGCACTTCTTTTTTTTTTATAAGAGTGTAGGGTGTCATTTGGGAGGAAACATCTGTTTTTACAGGCTGTAAACCTATTGATGCTGATAGGTGATGCTGATAGGTTATGGTGATAGGTTATGCCGATAGGTTATGCTGATAGGTTATGCTGATAGGTTATGCTGATAGGTTATGCTGATAGGTTATGCTGATAGGTTATGCTGATAGGTTATGCCGATAGGTTATGCTGATAGGTTATGCTGATAGGTTATGCTGATAGGTTATGCCGATAGGTTATGCTGATAGGTTATGGTGTATGGTTATGCCGATAGGTGATGCTGAGGTATGCTGGTTATGCCGATAGGTTATGCTGATAGGTATTGACCGATAGGTTATGCTGATAGGTTATGCCGATAGGTGATGCCGATAGGTTATGCCGATAGGTTATGCTGATAGGATTAGTGAGTTCTATGGTTAAACTCCCATGTTACATAAGTACTGCAGATAGTAAGACATGGTTAATGGTTTTCGAATTGTGATAGTGAAGGTGCTCTGGGACCTCTGACACTAATACATCACAGCTAGGACATAAGTTTTCACATTGTCCGGTTGAAGGTTGTACTGACATTCTGACCTATATTACAAAGACCTCAGGGCAAAAGTCAGATTGCGTCCCAAATCGCATCATATTCCCTGTATAGGTACTACTTTTGACGAGAGCACAATGGTCCCTGGTCAAAATGTGTGCACTATATAGGGAATAGGGTGCCATTGAGATGCATCCTCAGTCAGTGATTCTTTGTGCGTGCGACGTCCGTGATGTGAATGCACAGCGGCCATTGGTGACGAGCTGGATTAGAATCAGCTATGTACGTGCAACAAAGTTTTTGTTCGTCACAACTTGTGACATGGAAGAATTGCATATGCAGGGGGGTGAACAAGTATGGATATATAACAACAGCCTGTGCGGTTGGTTGTTTTAGTTCTTGTGATGCTGTGTGTGTGTGTGGTTCCACAGTGTGTGTGATGCTGTGTGTATGGTTGACAGTAAACATCAGAACAGGCCTCACGGTTCTGCGCCAAACACACACACGCACACAGAAACACACAGACACACATGAGCACGTACACACACACACCCTCAGAGGGCTGGAGAGACAGTAAGGGCTAGCAACAACAACACCATGTTTCATTACAGCTACTCCCCCTAGACTAGCAACAACAACACCATGTTTCATTACAGCTACTCCCCCTAGACTAGCATACAAACACCATGTTTCATTACAGCTACTCCCCCTAGACTAGCATTACAACACCATGTTTCATTACGGCTACTCCCCCTAGACTAGCATTACAACACCATGTTTCATTACAGCTACTCCCCCTAGACTAGCGTTACAACACCATTTTCATTACAGCTACTCCCCCTAGACTAGCATTACGACACCATGTTTCATTACAGCTACTCCCCCTAGACTAGCATTACAACACCATGTTTCATTACAGCTACTCCATTTAGACTAGCATTACAACACCATGTTTCATTACAGCTACTCCCCCTAGACTAGCATTACAACACCATGTTTCATTACAGCTACTCCCTTTAGACTAGCATTACAACACCATGTTTCATTACAGCTACTCCATTTAGACTAGCATTACAACACCATGTTTCATTACAGCTACTCCATTAGACTAGGCATTACGACACCATGTTTCTTACAGCTACTCATACTAGCATCGACACCAGTATTACGTACTCCCTTAGACTAGCATTACAACACCATGTTTCATTACAGCTACTCCATTAGACTAGCATTACAACACCATGTTTCATTACAGCTACTCCATTAGACTAGCATTACACACCATGTTCATTACAGCTACTCCCTTAGACTAGCATTACAAACCAGTTTCATTACGCTACTCCATTTAGACTAGCATTACACACCATGTTTCATTACAGCTACTCCATTAGACTAGCATTACAACACCATGTTTCATTACAGCTACTCCCCATAGACTAGCATTACACACCATGTATCATTACAGCTACTCCCCTTAGACTAGCAACAAAACACATGTTTCATTACAGCTACTCCCATAGACTAGCATTACAACACCAGTTTCATTACAGCTACCCCATTTAGACTAGCATTACAACACCATGTTTCATTACAGCTACTCCATTTAGACTAGCATTACAACACCATGTTTCATTACAGCTACTCCATTTAGACTAGCATTACAACACCATGTTCATTACAGCTACTCCATTTAGACTAGCATTACAACACCATGTTTCATTACAGCTACTCCCCCTAGACTAGCATTACAACACCATGTTTCATTACAGCTACTCCCCCTAGACTAGCATTACAACACCATGTTTCATTACAGCTACTCCCTTTAGACTAGCATTACACACCATGTTTCATTACAGCTACTCCCCCTAGACTAGCATTACGACACCATGTTTCATTACAGCTACTCCCCCTAGACTAGCATTACAACACCATGTTTCATTACAGCTACTCCCCTTAGACTAGCATTACAACACCATGTTTCATTACAGCTACTCCATTTAGACTAGCATTACAACACCATGTTTCATTACAGCTACTCCATTTAGACTACTCCTTGGCCCACTTTAAAGTAGTAGCTTTAATAACCCAGAATGACACAGTTCGTATTTATAGTACATAAACATTTGCTTACTGATTCTGTGATACTAGATAGTGTGGCCTGACATTTTCAAATAGCCTAGTTTGAATGAACAAAACTCCCATATGGATAGATGCTCCTATCTTTGCAGTGACTCAGTAACCTCTCTATATTTCATACTTTTAAAGATACCATTATCATTTCTGCTTAATTTATGTTGCTATAAACCATGAATTCACCAGTATGCCCACAGCTGACACATTCTCCCAACACTATGTATTTTCTGTTTCTGAGACATATGGTGGGCTACATCCTCCGTGCCTTTAGCTTCTCCCCGCAGGGCTGACTGTTCTGAAAAACAAGCTTGAGAAGATGCAGATGTCACATTATGTAACAAATTAAGAAATGGCTATACATACGTGACTGTGGTCTGTGGCTTCATTATAAACACAGGGGGTGAAATGGAGTTTGTACCCATACACAAGATGAGGATTACTGTGGCATGTTTATAAATGTGTTGTACATGTTCTACAATAACACGACGACTGTTCAAATGTGAGTGTTAAAGTTTTAATATGCAAGTGTTCGAATTTGAGTGTTAAAATGCCTTGTTCTACATTTTATAATTACAAACAGAAAAGGAGGAAGCTGTATTTTGACCCTGCTTCATATATAGGAGAATCCCTCTCTTTGATTGCTTAAAAGGCTGTTGATGTTGATGTGGCTTTGTAATGTTTAAATTACATTATTTGGAAGTAGGTCAGACAGTGAAGTGAATCACATTCAAAATAGTATTGTAATGAAGCTCTTTCTTCATGCATATGCAGACATACTGTAGTCGATTTCAACAATGGGTTTACCTCGCAGTTCATAACAGCTGTTTTTTTATTGCCAGTAATGTTTCTTCTCCTTTGTTTCAGAGTCCAACCTCTCCAACTAGAAACCTCTCAACATCACACCTTCTCCTACCACTCCAGAGGCCCATCCCATCCCTTCTCCTACCACTCCAGAGGCCCATCCCTTCTCCTACCACTCCAGAGGCCCATCCCTTCTCCTACCACTCCAGAGGCCCATCCCTTCTCCTACCACTCCAGAGGCCCATCCCATCCCTTCTCCTACCACTCCAGAGGCCCATCCCATCCCTTCTCCTACCACTCCAGAGGCCCATCCCTTCTCCTACCACTCCAGAGGCCCATCCCATCCCTTCTCCTACCACTCCAGAGGCCCATCCCATTCCTTCTCCTACCACTCCAGAGGCCCATCCCATTCCTTCTCCTACCACTCCAGAGGCCCATCCCATTCCTTCTCCTACCACTCCAAAGGCCCATCCCATCCCTTCTCCTACCACTCCAGAGGCCCATCCCATCCCTTCTCCTACCACTCCAGAGGCCCATCCCATCCCTTCTCCTACCACTCCAGAGGCCCATCCCATTCCTTCTCCTACCACTCCAGAGGCCCATCCCATTTCATCCACAGTCCAGACTTCCACCATCTAGTCGGGTTACCAGGTGCACGACCAGACTTTAATCTCTAGAATGAAAGTGGAATTTTGCCAGACTTCCACCTGCCCAGGGTGACCTGTCCATGACCTGTCCAGCTCTACCTGCACCGACAGACAGTACCCACTCCACCTGAGGCTCTGTTCCTCATCCCCAACCCACCCCCCAAACCCCCCAGTCCCCGGTTCCTCAGCCCCAGCTCGAAGCAGGGGAGGATGGGTGATGGACCTGTGAGTCTCCCTGGTCTCTCTCCTTCCTTCTCTCCCATCCTCTCATGGAGCCTCCTGCTGACAACTCCACCTCCCCCTGGAACTCTTCCCAGTCCTCCCTCTCCGGACTTCCAGGTCGGTACCAACTAAGGTTGCAAAATTCTGGTAACTTTCCCTATTTAGAAGATTCCCGGAATTATGAAGGAATAAGCAGGAAATCTGGAATCCTCCAACCAGGATTTCTGGAAAACCTGGGAATTTTGGGACAGTTATCCTCATTTTTCTGCCTGAGTACTGACTTTATCTTAACTTAACTTGGTTAAAGACAGTTCTCTGGACTTTAATGTGTTCTTGATCTTTGATAATTTCTTTATGTATTTATAGGCTACTCTATATGTATTTAAAATCTGTGTAATACAATGCATTAATTTTTTCATTCAGGTCCCTGGCTCCCCGCCTCGCTGCACCCCAATGCCTCTAACGTGAGCCTTCCTGTGGGCACCGGCACCAGCGGAGCCCCCCTGTCCCTGACCCAGTCCCTGGCCCTGTGTGCCATGCTTCTCATGGACCTCTTAGCAGTTGTAGGCAACCTAGCAGTCATGGCCGTCATCACCAAGACGCCGCAGCTGAGGAAGTTCGCCTTCGTGTTCCACCTGTGTCTGGTTGACCTGCTGGCGGCTCTGATTCTGATGCCTCTGGGCATGCTGTCGGACCGGGTCTTGGCGCACGATGAGGCACTGTGCCGGAGCTACCTCTGTCTTAGCGTGGGGCTGATCAGTGCCGCCATCTTGTCTATCTCTGCCATCAACGTGGAGAGGTACTATTATATAGTCCACCCCATGCGCCATGAGGTCAAGATGACCGTGGGGGTGGTTGTGACGGTGCTGGTCGGGATCTGGGTCAAAGCTATTGTCATGTCGGCTCTGCCGCTCCTGGGCTGGGTGCTCCAGGGGAGCCAGGGGGTAGGGGTCGGACTCGGAGGGGGACTAGGGGGTCCCATGTTCCCGGGTCCTCCAAGCCAGAGACGTTGCTCCCTACACTGGACCGGAGGAGGAGGGACCACATGGTTAATCTTCATGGTTTTCTTCACCTTTGTCTACTTCCTGTGTCCAGTACTGATCATCCTGGTTGTGTACTGTAACATGTTTAAAGTAGCCAGGGTGGCAGCCATGCAGCATGGCCCCTTACCTACCTGGATGGACACACCTGGGCCCCGCCCTCACCGCTCTGACTCCCTCAGCAGCCACTCCACCATGGCTGCCAGCCTGGGAGGCCCCGGAGGTGGCCCTGGGGGTCCTCAACCCCGCACCCCCAGTCAGAGGACCTTCAACGGGGGTAAAGCCGCGGCAGTCCTGGTGGCAGTTGGAGGCCAGTTCCTATGCTGCTGGCTACCTTACTTCTCCTTCCACCTGTACTCCGCCCTGGTCTCCACCTCCCCGGCCTCCCTGGCTTCGGCCCAGCTGGAGGAAGTCGTGACCTGGATCGGTTACTTCTGCTTCACTTCCAACCCCTTCTTCTACGGCTGTCTGAACCGGCAGATCCGCACGGAGCTGGGCCGAAGCCTGGCCTGTCTCTTTAAGTGGGCGGGGCCGGGCGACGGGGATCAGCTGGCCAGCCGAGAGGCCTCCATCGAGGAGAACTTCCTCCAGTTCCTCCAGGGGACAGGGTGCAATCTGGAGCCCAGCGGATCCCAGGCACACAGCAGGGCCAGCAGGCCAGAGGAGAAGGAGGAGGCGGGGGAGAGGGACCCTCTTCAAGATGGACCTTGTCAGAAGAACACGCTGGTCCAGGAACACACGCCTGTTGACTTCCACATCCCTGGACAGATTATCGAGGAGACCTCTGAGTTCTTGGAGCAGCAGCATCTGACTCTGAACAATGACATCAACCTAGCGGACCACTGCTTCAGGGTAAACAGGACTGAGCTGTAGCAAACACCGGCCACTCATGTGTACAGTAGGCCTTTATTTGGGCCAGGCCTCAGAGGTGGAAACACTAAATTCTTAGTCTGTAGGCCAAGCACCGGTGTAAAGTCCTATGGTGGAAACGGCAGATAGATTACATGTTATTTAGAGTATTCTATTTGATGCTAGGCTTGATGGTGTTGTGTCCACATTTGCTACAGTGTGATTATGGGACATACGTGTACATTGTAAGTAAGAGACAGTGCTTATGAGCAAAAAGCTACAGCTACAGAGTTTGTATCTTCTTTTGAAGAATTCAGGTTGTTATTATTGATAAAGCTCTATGTTCATTATTTTGTACTGTCACTAGAATCAGGGTTCCTCTACGGGAGATAAGGTTGGGGGAAATTCCGTTTCAATTCAGTAAACTCAGGATATCAACTGAAAATTCCAATTCCAATCATCCTCCGTGCTTTTCTATGAGGTTTACTTCCTGAATTGACTGAATGGAAATGTAATTGACCCCAACTGATTCTATTGACAGTCTGTTAAGACCGAAACCCTTACATAAAAATATATAATGCCAGTCTAATGACACTGTGTCCTTCAGTCAGTCAATGTATCTATTGCTACTGAATTATATGTTGGTCTGGGAAAGAGTGAGAGAACATCTAACATATTAGCACTTGAGAATCTTTGTTTTAGTGTGGATAGCACAAATTATCTTTGTCAAAGTCTGAAAGAACCCCCAAGACGATCCATTAGACAAATGTAAAGCATCAATCCTATAGACCTCCATATAGTATCAGACAAAGGGTTAAGAACCAGATCAACACACTGGTCACAGCAGAGAACAGAATACATTTGTGTTTATTCCCTGTTCCAGTCCCATCCTCCGCTTCCTAATGCAACCAAGGTAATGAATGCAGATTTAGATGTTTTCCTCGGGTAGACATCAAAAAAATAATATTCAGAGCCATTTCTGACTGCACTCAATCTGAAGCACTATGGGCCCTGGTCAAAAGTAGTGCGCTATGTAGGGAATAGGGTGCCATTTGGGAGGCAGACAATGTGTTAACAGGATCATTTCACAACTGATCCTTGCCAATGGTATTTATAGCAAGCATATACAGTACATATGCATGAGCATATCCATGAGGTTATTATTTGACTCCACACTGAATACATTCGGTTATTATTTGACTCCACACTGAATACATGAGGTTATTATTTGACTCCACACTGAATACATGAGGTTATTATTTGACTCCACACTTAATACACAAGGTTATTATTTGACTCCACACTGAATACATGAGGTTATTATTTGACTCCACACTGAATACATGAGGTTATTATTTGACTCCACACTGAATACATTCGGTTATTATTTGACTCCACACTGAATACATGAGGTTATTATTTGACTCCACACTGAATACATGAGGTTATTATTTGACTCCACACGGAATACATGAGGTTATTATTTGACTTCACACTGAATACATGAGGTTATTATTTGACTCCACACTGAATACATGAGGTTATTATTTGACTCCACACTGAATACATGAGGTTATTATTTGACTCCACACTGAATACATTCGGTTATTATTTGACTCCACACTGAATACATGAGGTTATTATTTGACTCCACACTGAATACATGAGGTTATTATTTGACTCCACACGGAATACATGAGGTTATTATTTGACTTCACACTGAATACATGAGGTTATTATTTGACTCCACACTGAATACACGAGGTTATTATTTGACTCCACACTGAATACACAAGGTTATTTGACTCCACACTGAATACACAAGGTTATTATTTGACTCCACACTGAATACACAAAGTTATTATTTGACTCCACACTGAATACACAAGGTTATTATTTGACTCCACACGGAATACATACAGTTATTATTTGACTCCACACTGAATACATTAGGTTATTATTTGACTCCACACTGAATACATTAGGTTATTATTTGACTCCACACTGAATACATGAGGTTATTATTTGACTCCACACTGAATACATTAGGTTATTATTTGACTCCACAAGGTTATTATTTGACTCCACATTGAATACATTAGGTTATTATTTGACTCCACACTGAATACACAAGGTTATTATTTGACTCCACATTGAATACATTAGGTTATTATTTGACTCCACACTGAATACACAAGGTTATTATTTGACTCCACACTGAATACATGAGGTTATTATTTGACTCCACACTGAATACATTAGGTTATTATTTGACTCCACATTGAATACATTAGGTTATTATTTGACTCCACACTGAATACATGAGGTTATTATTTGACTCCACACTGAATACACAAGGTTATTATTTGACTCCACATTGAATACATTAGGTTATTATTTGACTCCACACTGAATACACAAGGTTATTATTTGACTCCACATTGAATACATTAGGTTATTATTTGACTCCACACTGAATACATGAGGTTATTATTTGAATCCACACTGAATACACAAGGTTATTATTTGGTGTATTTATTTTAGCAGAATCCCTCGTTGATATGTACCTGTCATATCACACAGACAACCACTTACTAATCACATTTTGACTAATTTGGGAGTCGCCTCACTATACCATTTTCTTTTGACGCAAAATAAACATATTTATTTCATGTGAAACAAATGCTAGAAATAGAAACAGCCCAAATGAAAAACAAAAGTCAGCACTGATGTTATTACACAAGATCTGCATGAAGAGAAATAGAGAGAGAGAGAGAGAGAGAGTAGAGAGACGAGAGAGAGAGAGAGAGAGAGATAGAGAGAGAAAAGACGGGTTGTGAGGAGAGAAGAGCGAGACGAGAGAGAGGGGGGTAGAGTGGAGAGGAGGAGCAAGGGGCGGTTTTCGGGTCTCGAGGACGCTCTCTACATCTATCCTCTTCTCTATCTCGTCTTTTTTTGCTCTTTATCTCTCTCTCTCTTCGCTTCTCTTTTCTTTTCGAATTCTCTATCTCTCTAAACCTCTGCAGCCTCCGACCATCTCTATCATCTCTCTCTCTCTGAGCATATAGAGTTGTTTGTTTTTCTCTCCCTCCCTCTGTGAGGAGAGAAAAGAGGGCAAAGGCCAAAGCATGCCATGTGTCAGCATCATTCATCACACCTGTCTATCTGTCACCTGTGCTGTGTAGCCACAACAAGCCGTGGGTGTTTCTGGGTAAACAACACGGAACACTTAGCATGTACTGTCTGGCACTCGCCAACGTTTACCTCTAAACACCAGGGGCATCGGTGGAGGTTGGCAGTTGGTGCTAGGATGTGCCTCATAGGGCTCTGGTCAAAAGTAGTGCGCTACGTAGGGAATAGGGTGGCATTTGGGATGGCGACCTAATCTTTAGAATCTGGCCCTATTGTCCCGTTCTAAGCGGCTTCAACAGCTGTGTGCTGCTGTCTAACTCTCAGCTGACATTTTGAATGACGCATGGAGCTGTGGAAATATGAAAAATGGAAAAGCTAGATTTGTCATTATACAGTTCCTATTCTGAACAGTAATTCAAATAATCTGCATCAACCTTCTCTTGGAAAATAAGAACAAATTATCAGTAGTTAATTATTTAGAGTCTAAGACATTGGGGGGGGGGGGGGGGGGGGGGTGCTAAGATGACATATGGAATTGTTTTAAGATGGTCACACTATGGATCATTTAGCTATTTGATTTTGAATTTTAGGACCCCTTTAGGTATCAAAAAAATATACTGCATACACATTTTCTTGGGATAAGATATTGATTTTGGCCTTTACTACTAAAGCCCATAGAAAGGCATTGAATAACACATTCAGAAATGGCAAAAAGGACAGTCAAAAAGGACAGTCAAAAAGTACATTAAAAAAGGACAGTCAAAAAATCATAAGAAACAAGGTTTTGAAGTGTCCGTCCTAAATCTAGGAGATATTTTAAAAAATCAGGAAATATACAGTGAGTGAAAAAAGTATTTGATCCCCTGCTGATTTTGTACGTTTGCCCACTGACAAAGAAATGATCAGTCTATAATTTTAATGGTAGGTTTATTTGAACAGTGAGAGACAGAATAACAACAAAAAAATCCAGAAAAACGCATTTCAAAAATGTTATAAATTGATTTGCATTTTAATTAGGAAAATAGGTATTTGACCCCCTCTCAATCAGAAAGATTTCTGGCTCCCAGGTGTATTTTATACAGGTAACGAGCTGAGATTAGGAGCACACTCTTAAAGGGAGTGCTCCTAATCTCAGCTTGTTACCTGTATAAAAGACACCTGTCCACAGAAGCAATCAATCAATCCGATTCCAAACTCTCCACCATGGCCAAGACCAAAGAGCTCTCCAGGGATGTCAGGGACAAGATTGTAGACCTACACAAGGCTGGAATGGGCTACAAGACCATTGCCAAGCAGCTTGGTGAGAAGGTGACAACAGTTGGTGCGATTATTCGCAAATGGAAGAAACACAAAAGAACTGTCAATCTCCCTCGGCCTGGGGCTCCATGCAAGATCTCACCTCGTGGAGTTGCAATGATCATGAGAACGGTGAGGAATCAGCCCAGAACTACACGGGAGGATCTTGTCAATGATCTCAAGGCAGCTGGGACCATAGTCACCAAGAAAACAATTGGTAACACAGTACGCCGTGAAGGACTGAAATCCTGCAGTGCCCGCAAGGCGCTCAAGAAAGCACATATACAGGGCCGTCTGATGTTTGCCAATGAACATCTGAATGATTCAGAGGAGAACTGGGTGAAAGTGTTGTGGTCAGATGAGACCAAAATCGAGCTCTTTGGCATCAACTCAACTCGCCGTGTTTGGAGGAGGAGGAATGCTGCCTATGACCCCAAGAACACCATCCCCACCGTCAAACATGGAGGTGGAAACATTATGCTTTGGGGGTGTTTTTCTGCTAAGGGGACAGGACAACTTCACCGCATCAAAGGGACGATGGACGGGGCCATGTACCGTCAAATCTTGGGTGAGAACCTCCTTCCCTCAGCCAGGGC